TTGGTTGGTTGGTTGGTTGGTTGGTTGGTTGGTTGGTTGGTTGGTTGGTTGGTTGGTTGGTTGGTTGGTTGGTTGAATTCACTTATTTATGTTTCTAGGAAGTGTTGTGTTGTGTGCCAGGCACTGGGCTAGGCACAGGGCTTTCTGGCACAGGGCTCACAGCCAAGATAGCCGAGTAACTAGGCAATTCCAGCACTTCCCAGCAGGGGCGCTGCACAAAACGCCCCTGGGGAAGGGCGCCCAGCAAAGATAAGACTTGCAGAGTGGAAGGAAGGTGGCTGGAAGGAGGCCAGCTCTGTTCGTCTGAGGGGTCCCAGCACCCGGGCTGCAGAGCATCTTCACAGGGCCTCTTCTCATGGGCACCACCCTTTGTTCTTCTCACAGTCGAGCCAACTCCTCCCGTCCCCAAATGAGGCAAATGGGGATCCTTGTTCTCACTGCCATTGAATTGATTCCGACTCACAGCGACCCTGTAGGGCAGGGCGGAACGTCCTCTGTGGGTTTCTGAGACTGGAACTCTTTATGGGAGTCGAAAGCCTCGTCTTTCTCTGAGGAGCAGCTGGTGGTTTCAAACTGCCCACTTGGTGGTCAGCAGCCCAACTCCTAGCCACCACCCCCCACCAGGCTCCTTAGAGTGGCTCAAGGGCCATCCCACAGTTTTTGGCCCTCGTCTGCGAGCGGCCCCAGCTCCAGTGTGTCTAACCGAGGACAGCATGGTCTGGACCTCGGCCAGTTCTCAGACAGGGGATGTTGGAGCCCATTCCTGTGGCCACTGGGTCTGCCCACCTCGTGGAAGGCTTCTCCAGTTGGAGCTGGCCCTTGACTTCCACCAACCACGGCCGGCGGTGAGAGATCGGTCTTTCCTGCTGATGTGGCCAAAGTCAGCGAGTCCAAACCTGCCACCTCGTCCCGACTCTCAGGTTGCACTGGGAAGAGGGGCCTCATTCCTGGAGGTGCTTTGGGCTGCCCGGCCAGTAGGGAGTCCTGGGGGGAGGGGTGCCCACAACCGTGTATTTTTATCAGATTTACATCTTGGGGTTCTAGGCCAGGTTTTGTTTTTAAAGATAAAGGAACAAGTGGTGCAGGATGGGATAAAGGGGGAGTGAGAGAGCCACCCCTCAGTGCAGCCAGAGCTCTACGGGGCTTGATAAGTGCACACCTGCTCAGAGGGGGGGTCCCCACTGTTCCACTCTCAACGTCTGCCATGGACGCGACCCTGTGGGTTTCCGAGACTGAAACTCTGCAAGACGGCAGGGCCTCGACTTTCCCCCACGCAGCAGCTGGTGGCTTCCAGGGACTGCCCTCGTCCTGAGCAGCCCCCACGTACCCACTGTGCAGTCAGGCTTCCTGTCGCCATTTCCTGGGAAACACTTGAGATGTGGGAACCGGGCAGCAGCCCCTGGGGAAAGAAAAGGCAGGGTCCCCGCTGCCCTGTCATGCCTGGAGGCTACCTGCTGGTCCACTCTCGGCCGCTGACCTGCGTCTCCGTTGCAGATCGCCTCCCTGCTCAAGGACAATGAGCGCATCCAGTCCACGCAGACGATCACGCCCAGTGACGAAGACAGCGACATCAAGAAGATCAAGAAGGTCTGTACCACCCCCAGGAGCCCTGGTGGTGTAGCGGGCTCCTAACCGTGAGATGGGCTGTTCAAAACCAGCTGTTCTGCAAGAGAAAGATGAGGCTTTCTGGTCCCGTAGAGATACCCGCTCCTACACAGCCTCTAAGAGTTAGAATTGATTTGATGACAGGGAGTTTAGTTCGTTTGTTAGTTTATTTTTGTACCATCTCCTAGGCTGGTAGAACTGTCCCCAGGGCCCTCCTGGCATGCCCCAGGATCTACCCCGATTCACTTTGTGCCCGGGGTTTATCGTCCACACACCCTCAGGTCCAGAGGTGGAACCTACTGAGAGTCACCTTGTCCTGTCTTCTGGTTATTCCTTTAGGTGAGTCAGGCCCGTTGTATAGGTAAGAAAACGGAGGCTCCAATAGACGAAGGAGTAGCAGGGTCAGGACAGGGTCCGCCCTGCCCTCTCATGTCTGAGGCTTGTCTGCTAGTCCTCTCTCAGCCGCTGAGCCTTGAGGCTCTCAGCTGAGAACTCTCCTCACTGCACCCTCTCCAGCCTCACCAAGACCCCAAGGCCACCTTTCTTCAATTTCACCCCACCTTTTGGTCCTAAGAAGACCTCAGCCCAGGACCCCATGGTTGACCCCACAGTTTGGCCCCAATACAGAGTCCAGAGAGGGTGGGCATCTTAAAAGGTATGAGGAGAACCCACCAAGTAACCCAAATAGTGACCACACCATGCACCATCCTCTCGGCAACTGACCGCCGGGGGAAGGCATGGTTTGAGTCTGCACCTTGCCAGTCAGGAGGAGGGGAGCCTGACTCTCCCTCAGAAAATCCAGGAAACCAGAGGGTCCTCTGTGCCCACCCCACCACGCCACACAGAGCGGAAGCTGAAAGGTGGCATTCTAGCGTCAACTTCAGCCTGCCTGTATGTTTGAGGGGGTAAAGCTCTCACGGTTGGGGGCTCGATTTTCTTTCTTTCTTTTTCAATTTGTTGCCAGTGTTTTAGTTTTGTTTTTAATCATTTTATTAGGGGCTCATATAACTCATACAATCCCTACATACATCAATTGTGTAAAGCATATTTGTACATTCATTGCCCTCATCATTCTCAAAACAT